TTGGGGGTGGTCTTGTTACCACTGGGCAATGATGAAAGTCTGGACTCTCCACTAAGTTTGCCTTTATACTACCCCAGTGGGGAGAGGGTAGGCACCTCATAGTACTGTCTGGTGGGGGTGTTACTGGGCCCTAGTTTTCTGCCTGCCCCAAACAAAAACCCCAGTTTGGCTTGCAAAAATCTGTTACCCCAGGGCATTTAGCTCCTGACTTAGGCTTGTCAAAATCTTGTTAATGAACCCAAGTCCGGCTGCCTGCCCCAAACATAAACAATTCAAAAGGCAAATGTTGGTGGAAATGGAAGTCAGCTTTAATTCAGAAATACCAGTGATCTGAGGAGAGGTGTTAGGCTAGTTCATCTCTCAGTAAAACTGAAGGAGAATGGGCAGATGAAAGCCTTCTCCCTGATTCGGATTTACTGAAGGTTTTTTAAAGAGGAGATTGAGGGAATGGAACGTGAGAAGTGGAGAGCAGGAGGAAGGGGGACGTGAGCTGCGGGGGCTCTGTGAAAGGGGCCAGTTGTAAGGTCTCACCAAGGTTCTGTCTGTTTTCTGTTCCCATCCTTAGTGCTATCTTAGGGTCCTGCTGGAGGAGTGGAATCAGCATAGCTTTACTGATGTCTTCCTTGATTTCTCAGGGTCTGGATAGTATGTCTCATGCAAGTCTGCACCTCCAGGCTGACTGGAAAACAACTTTACATTTATGTAAATAATGTCATCTTGCCCCATAACCAAGGTTCAAAATATCAAATAACTGTTAAAAAAGAAATACATGCTAAGAAAAAAACTGTCTCTTTTAAAATTTTGCCTATAGCCCAGGTAGTTTTAGTTTCCAGCATGGAGTGAGTCCTGCTCACTCCAACAGGGGTGCAAGTTCTGGCTCCCCATGTAGTCTCCACTGACAGTGCTACGGGGTGGGGGCATGAGGGGGGAGGAGGATTATTACTGGCTGGTGGGAATGAGCATCCTGGCTCCCTCCTTGGCCTTCTCTGATACCACCCTGGAGGGGATGTTGGGGCACTTGGTTACAACCTTGAGATGGTGGAAGTCTAGGCTCCCCTTTTGACCTTTACTGGCATGCGTAGGGGAGAGGCTGCTGTTGTTTCTGTGGTGTTTGGCTGGAATGGAGATGTTATCTAAATGTTTTCTGTCTTTCTAGGTTGCCTGGTCCTTTTGCTAGCCAGAGCAATTTTTGGGGGGCTTTTCTGGTCTGTGTCTGTGCTGTTTCTAGATTGCCAGCTTATTCAGCTCCTGGTCTGGGCATCATGAGGCAAAAAGAAACCCAGGGAACTTACCAATGCATTGGTGTCATTCCACAGGTCTTGAGGTCCCTAGCTGATCTGCTCTTCTTTTCCCACTGGTCAGTCTTCTTATGTTTATTTTATAAACAGGTGGTCTCCTATATCCATGGGTTTTGCATCTATGGATTCACCCAACTGTGAATTGAAAATATTCGGAAAAGAAATTTCCACTAAGTTACAAAATGCAAAACTTGAATTTGTGGTGCACCAAGTACTGTGTTGAATCCATGTGAATGAAGTGATGTGTAGGGATTGTGTTAGGTTTTATAAGTAATCTAGAGATGATTTATTAAAGTATACAGGAGGATGTGTGCAGGGTATATGCGAGTACTACATCATTTTATATAAGGGACTTGCTCATCCATAGATTTCGGTATCTGCAGGGGTTTCTGGAACCACTACCCCATGGATACCAAGGGACAACTGTATACTGTCCATGGTTTTTAGTTGTACTTAACAGGG